TTCTACTAGAAGATCCCTGATCAAAGACAGTGACTTTATTTTTATATTCTCAGCATAAGTGCAATGTACATAGCATAGAGTTTAAAAGAAAAAAAAATTAATGAACTGTAAGCCAGTGAAAGGACAAGAAGATCAACTGGACTTCAAGTACAGAAAAAGTCCAGATCTAAAGGAAGTACAGAATCTATTATTAAGTCCCACCTATTAAGAAAGAAAGAAAGAAAGAAAGAAAGAAAGAAAGAAAGAAAGAAAGAAAGAAAGAAAGAAAGAAATTATTATTCAGGTGTTATCAAGGTAACAAAAAAAAAAAGAACTTATCAATAGACTAAGCAAGCAATAAGAAGTTAAGAGTCTCTAATGGAGCAGCTGACAAAAGATCAACTGAAAGGCCAGAGATAAAGGTGGTTCTTTCAAGTCATGTAATTCTTCAGCCTAAGTCCATAGACTAAGATTGGCACCTTCCTCTGTCAGTTCACCACTCCTCCCCTTTGTCATTATTCTCCATAGCCTTTTCCCAGCCCCCATTATTAAATCCCAGATTTCAGGAGTAATTTCCCTCTACTAGAGCCACAAGTCCTTCCAGTGGATTAGTCTGAGACATAAGGCAGGGATTAGGGGGTTGACAATCGTTGTTCTTGTGGCAAGGACCTAGAGGAAAGAAATGAAACTACTATTTATTGAGGGCTAGCTTTGTACCAGATATCATGCTACTACTTTACAAACATTAAATCTCAGAGTAATCCTGAGTAATTATCCCATTTCACAGATGAATCCAAGATCACAGCTAAGAAATCACAGAGCCTACTTGAAAACTCAGAGATAATAGCCTCTAGAGTATTTCCATACTCCTGACTACCTCAAAATAAAGAGAGTTGTGCTGGGGGGAAAAAAAATGAAGAGAGCTGTGGTCTAGCTGTTCTAGGTTGGAACTCAGAATATATTATTCTATAAAATACTATTATAAATACTGGCTAAAGACTATAGTACCACGAATACATAACGGGCATACAATGAGTTAAAATAGCTTTGGTGGAGCAATTGGGTAGCTCAGTTGGTTAAGCATCCAACTCTTGATCTCAGCTCAGGTCTTGATCTCAGAGTAGTTTTTTTAAAAACAGAATAAATAAACAAGTAAAAAAAATAGCTTTGGCATCCTGATCTGGAAATCCAAATGTTATTTGTTATTTTATTCCTATATGTACACTGTTCAACAACACAAACAAAAAATGGACTTGAAAATGACTTTTCAGAATAAAATGGGCTCTTAAGTGAGGCTTTTCTTTAAAAATATTTTCCGTCCATAAAAAATCACCAAGGATAGAAACTATTTTACCTTGTTAACCTGTAAGAACAATGACACTAGAAGACACCTGTGGGAACTGTGCTTATCTGACCAGGTGCTCGTTTACAGTGTGCTGTCATTTGAATAAAACATCACACTAAACCCTGCAGACCAGAGCTTATGATAGAATGCCACAAACTACAGCAGTACAGCTGATATGCCTATAATCTACTGACAAAATGTACTCCTTAGCAAAGTGAAACCAGATGTCTGGTGTAAAATCTGATGTCTGTGGACTTGTCTTTCTTGGCTTCCAGAGCTGTATTAGATACACTAAATACGCAGCTTAGCTGTATATTAAACCCACAACTTGGCAAAATCATGACAGTTTGGACATGAAGCATCAGCATTTTTATTGTAATTCTTATAAACCAAAGACATTTCTGAAATAGAAATCCTAAATTTAAGCACTCAGCTAAATGTGGTAGTATGTCTTCCCCACATTAGGAAGAGTGTCAGAGCTTTTTAAACATATTTATAGAAACTACGGAAATGATTTTAAAGGGGGTGGGGGGTGGGATTCAAACCACATCAGGTGTCAGTCCTTGTCCCAGAAATTCCAGGATCAGATAAAACAGGGTGATCACTGTGAAAATGCAAACACCTACCTTCAGGAAAGTTAAGTACTAGATGTCTTGTTTCAATTGCAAAGAAGATCATTAAGAATGTGATAGGTGACCAGATAAAAAGGGAGGGGAAATTGACAGTATCTATATGCCAGACGCTGGTTTTTGCACACTTTTTAATATGCTCAAAGTTCTGTTTTGACAGCTGAGAAATTAGGGAGCAAAGTTTTAACTGGTACAAAGTCGTAGGGCTAATGAGATAAGAGCCAGAACTCAAGCCCAAGTTTAAAAGACTCTAAAAGACATGCTACTTCTATGTGAGGACTGAGGGTTGAGCTCCCTATGGGGACATAGCCAAGAATATGGAAGTAAAAGTAAGAAATTTACAATTTTGCCAAATAGTAACATATAATCATGAAACAAAAAGTTGAAGAAATAAACACAAATAGTTGAGAGAGCTCATCTAAGTTCATAAGAGACTTTCTACTTTTATATCCCTGCAAAACTCATATTTAAGTAACTTTTTTAACCTTAGATATCCCTTGTAACCAGAAAAAGTTATCTTCAATAAAAAATGAGGTTAAATGCACAGAAACTCATACAAGTGAACAATCTAGTATCTTTCTTAAGTGCATCATCCTTACTACTCTCCATGTTTTCTCATCTTATGTCATCTTTATTGGATGATTCAACATACTAGCCTCATCTCATTTTTATACTGGTACATTTATTACACTAGAAAATGACTATAACACATTATAATGGTACTCCAATCTGTCTTAAGGGTTAACTTGCCTCAAGCTTATGCACTCCTTGCTTGCCGACCTAAGTCCCTTGGTCTGTAGCCAAACTAACCTAAATTTCCTTGAGATTTGCAAACCACTGGCCTTGGGGAGTGAAAGACCAAACCTGCCCAGAAGATAACACCTAATCACATTTGAAAACAGCTGCCACTGATACCAGCAAATCAGTTCAGGGTCATGTTGACATATCACAAATTGCCTGGGCCCCAGCTTCTCCTGTCTTAAGCACCTCCCCTTTAAAACTCTCCAGCTTCGCGTGGACAGTGAAGATGGTCTTTGGGACATCAGTCCACCATCCTCTCAGTCTGCTGGCTTCCCAAATAAAACAACCTTTCCCTTCCCATTTGTCTCTCAAGTATTGATTTCCAAGCTGCCTGCAGCCAAACCTGAGTTCAGAACTAATTTTCTGTCCAGTAACACTATTCTAAAACAGGACACAAATCACCATGGTCATTAATCCTTGAAAGTTTATCTCTGAAAGTCCTAGAAGGTGGAAAAATAGTACTGTCCTCCCATAACACTGTACAGACCTGCACATGACTAAGATCAATAGGAAAGGTCTTATACATTAACACTTAAGCATTCCAATAATCCACAGAAAACTGGCGAAAGGCCTGCTCCAAATGGCCTTCTCCGAAGCCAGTGTTATCATTTTTACCATCTTACCTATAGATCAGTGCCCCACACTTTAGTAGCAAAAGTTAATAAATATCTACTGAATCAATGAATGGACCTATCATCAATAAACAACTATTTTCTGGTTTTTCATAAACTATATGGTTGTCTATCACTTGAGTACAGACAAGTAAGAAGACAGGTTCAGGGCACACGCAGCCAACGTCCAATGGCTACAGAGAGCAATTCTAGCTTTCTTAAGTATCCAAGAATGGTTTGCTACATTGCTTGTGGAAAACCTGAATTTTAACAAATTTAAAATGTTTGTTTATACGGAGCACATAGGATGTATAAGGTATTCCCAAACTTCTCAGAGGAGCTGTGCTTCATTTCGCCAGTAAGAAGATAGAAAGGATAGTATATTGGAGAAGTGATGGAAAATTGGCACAAAAGAACCAATGAGGGATCCTTGGGTGGCTCAGCGGCTTAGCACCACCTTCAGTCCAGGGGTGACCCCGGAGTCCTGGGATCGAGTCCCACATTGAGTCCCTGCATGGAGCCTGCTTCTCCCTCTGCCTGTGTCTCTGCCTCTCTCTCTGTCTCTCTCTGTGTGTCTCTCATGAATAAATAAAATCTTAAAAAAAAAAAAAAAAAAACGATGAAAGCGATCACACTGAAAATCAGAGCAAACCTCCAAGGGCTTCCGTGTGCTGTGTGGCTACTTTCCAGAAGTGAACAGAGTATCTGTGAGAGGGTATGGATGTGAAAGTCACGAGCAAAAGGCCCGGCTTGGTACGGTCACCCTCCTACACCAAAAACAAAAACAAAGAAAAAAAAAAAAAAACCTTCCTCTATGAGCCTGTGAGAAGAACCCAAAAGAATTTCAACAGTTACCATATTGCTATTAACCTTCCCCTTTGGTGTTCTAAAGAATTTTGACAGGAGTCTCTTTTTAAAATGTAAAGATCTGGGCAGCCCGGGTGGCTCGGCGGTTTAGCGTCACCTTCAGCCCAGGGCGTGACCCTGGAGACCCCGGATCGAGTCCCGCATCGGGCTCCCCGCGAGGAGCCTGCCTCGGCTTGTGTCTCTGCCTCTCTTTTTCTCTCTGTGTCTCTCATGAATAAATGAATAAAATCTTTAATAAAAATAAAATGTAAAGATCTGAGGGACCCCCGGGGTGGCTCGGCAGTTTAGCGCCTCCCTTCGGCCCAGGGATCGAGTCCCGCATCGGGCTCCCGGCATGGAGCCTGCTTCTCCCTCTGCCTGTGTCTCTGCCTCTCTCTCTCTCTGTGTGTGTCTCTCACGAATAAATAAATAAATAACATCTTTTAAAAAATAAATAAATGACTAAATGAGATGTGAAGATCTGTGGGCGGGGCTCCCGCCAGTACAGAAGCAGGGCCGTGCTTCTCCAGCACCACAGCCTCAGCGGTGAACCCGAGTCCGGGGCGAGCCGAGGCAAGCGTAAGGCCAGCTCTCGGTCAGGTCAAGTGGCCACGAGGGGTGTAGGCCGAGCTGCCCGAGTCCCGGCCAGTTGTACCGGCTCCTGGGGCTGCGGCCTAGGACCGCCGAGGGGGCCCCGGGTCCTGAGGGAACCGCAGCGTCCGGCCCCCCACGCCCCGCGGGGCAGCGCTGGCTCCTTCCACCCCTGCCTTACTTCCGTCCCTTACTTACCCTTTCTCCCGCTCTTCCTCGGCGAGAAGGGGTAAGTGGTTATTTTGTGCCCAATTTGGCCAAAACCCTAAAAGTAAAAATGACAGAGACAGGTGCTTTAAAATCCTGACGGGCCCGCCTCAGGAACTCCCGCCACACGCCCCACAGTGCACGTCCCCACAGCGCTCCCTCCCGGCCAGGGCTTGGAGCCGGAGCTGCCCCCTCAGGGGCCGAGCAGCTCGGGGCGCGACCCGGGGGCGCCCGCCGGGCGGGGCACGAGCTCGCCCCTCCCCCTCCCCCCCCCCCCCCCCGCGCGGAGTCGCCGCCGTCAGGGGCCGCTCTGCAGCCGCGGGGGGCGGGCGGCCGCGCGGGCCTCGGACAAACACGCGCGCGCACACATGCTCGCGACACCGCCGGACCCGCGGCCGGGCGGCCCTCAGCCTCCCGGCGTTCCCGCCCCGCCGGGCGCCGACGCCCCGGGAACCGGCCCCAGCCCGGGGTGGGGGTGAGGCCCCCCCCGCGCCGGCCTCTCAGACCCCCCCACCCGCCGCGGGGCTCCCGCCCTCCGCACCCGCTGCGCAGCTCGGCCCCGGGGGGGGGGGGGGGGAAGGCCCCACGCTGGCCCCGCCCTCCGCCCGCGGCAAGCCCCGCCCCCTTCCGCGGCGCGCGGGAGCCGCGCGAAGCTCCGCCCCCGGCGGAACCCCGGCCCCGCCCCCTCCCGCTCCGCCTGGGATAAGCCCAAAACCCGGCGTGGATTTCGAGCGGATCCAAAAAGGTCACCGGTTCAGCCAGCCAGAAGCTCGCGCCCTTTCTCTCTGGTCTGCCCCGCGCTGCGCTGAGCCGCAGGGAGGGCAACCGAGACCTGGAACTCCGTGGAACCGTGTCCCCGGCTCCTCGCCTGCCTAGAGGTCACGAAACGGAGACCCCAGCGGTGGCTTGGAGCGCACAGTCCAGGGGCCAAAGAGCCCTCCCAGTGCTCCCCCTCGGGTGGTTTTTCTACTCTAGAGTGAGTGCACAGGAAAACTATTTCAGTTTTGCATTCTCTACGCAAGCCAAAAGGAATCGTCCAAAACAGGTGGTTTTCCTTTGGAAAAGCTGGAGTTTCACGCCTTAGCTTTTGTCTTGAAACTCGACAGGGTTATGACAAACTACAAAGTGAAACCTAAACCTACCAAACAGACCTAAAATACTTATTCTCTCGTTTATCCCTCCCCCAATTATATATATATATATATATATATCCCTCATTCTTTCTGTCTTTATCTTATGAATACTGACCAACTACCCTGTGCATTTCCAAATCATTTAATACAAACTATTAGTACCAGATGCTCTGGTTCTTTGGCTCAAAATTAATCCTAAAGGTCTAAGAACCTACTCAGAGACTCCAACGACCTAGTAACTAGAACCCCTAGCGTCTCCTGAGAATAAAACTGCTTTCCTGCAAGGAGGGTATGTGCCAGTTTTGTAGTTTTTCTCATTCATCACTGAAATAATTACTGTAGGGCAAGCTCTTCTCTGCCAATGCTCAAGGATTTAATTCCACGAGCACTTGGCTGTGAGAACCACCCTCATCAAATAGCAGTTGTGACCCATCTGTAAATGGGACTGGACTGCACAGGCCTTGTAAAAATTAATAAAGGGAAACCTCACTAAAGTGGAGTTGGGAGGCCTGTTCTACAGCCCCCAACAAAGCAATGCTCCACAGGAAAGAATCATCAATGACAGTCCTTCCCAGGGAAAGAGGTACACTGCATCTCCCGCAAGAAGAGAGGAGCCCAGCCCGTGAGAAACCATCATCATTCTGCACTGTTGCTTTTTTTCCATTGGTTTTACATTGAAAGCAACACCTCCTGACTTCCTCCTTCTTCTCCTCTCCTTTATGGCATTTGCCTGTAGTTTTTGCCACAGTTTGCATGTTCCAAATCATTCTCTACTATTCCTAAGTAAACCCATTTTGCTGATAAAGTAAGTGGCTGTTTTATTTTTTAGATTAACAGTACTAATAATTAATAATAAATTTGGATGACCCCAAATTTAAATAGATGGAGTTCCTGGCCATTGTTAGCTGACCTTCTGGAATGGAATATACATGGATAAATAACCAAGACAGGTAAGTATGATTTTTTTAAAAAATAATACTAATGAAAGTTAATTAGCATACACAGGGTGTTGCTAATTCTGACTGGACTTTGTCACTAAGATTCGTCAAATGTGCTTAAGAAGCTGAGGTCACCTGGAAAGGCTATGGTATAGTGTATGATGCCAAGTATGTGCCATTCTGGAAAAGGTAAAACTATGGAAACAGTAAAAAGATCTGTGATTGCCAAAGGTGGAGGGGCTGCGGAGAGGGAAGAATATGTGGAGCACAGATTTTTAGGGCAGTGAAAATATTCTCTATGATACATCACATTATAATTTGTCTACCAAGAATGAACTATAACCATACACTACAGACTCTTAGTAGCAATGATGTGTCAATGTAGGTTCATTGATTGTAACAAATGTGCCACTTTGGTGCTGGGATACTGATAGTTGAGGAAGCTGTGCAAATGTGGGGTCAGGGAATATGTTGGAACTCTATACTTTCTGCTCCATTTTTCTGTAAAACTGGCTCTAAAAAATAGTCTGCTAAAAAAAATGAAGCTGGGGTAAATCCTCAGAACATCCCACTTTCTTCAAATCCATCAATTAAATTCTAAAGTGAATATTTGGCTCTATGTATGGAGTTGAGATACAATGATTTGTCTTCTAATATTAGACCAGTCCTCCAGGGACGCCTGGGTGGCTCAGTGGTTGAGCATCTGCCTTCAGCTCAGGGCGTGATCCTGGAGTCCCAGGATCAAGTCCAACATCGGGCTCCCTGAATGGAGCCTGCTTCTCATTCTGCCTATGTCTCTGCCTCTCTCTATATATATGTCTCTCATGAATAAATAAAATCTTTTTAAAACTAAATAAAAATAAATTTTAAAAAAAAAGAACAGTCCTCCATGTGGCATTAATGTCATCAGAGAGAAAATGAATCATATAAGTATGATAAGGTACAAAATTAAAGTATGGTTAGATGTGTCTAATATTCAAGGAGATATTTAAGCAAGGTTAACCTGAAATAATTAAATTTACAAATTCTATGAATATGTTTATATTTCAAATCTATTTCTATTCACACATACTTACAATTAGTAAGCAAACAGTCCAAGATATCACAGACGTTTTCAAACTTTTGGGTGTCTGGACGCCTGGGTGGCTCAGCAGTTGAGTGTCTGCCTTCAGCTGAGGGCACAATCCTGGAGTCCCAGGATTGAGTCCTACATCGGGCTCCCTGCATGGAGCCTGCTTCTCTCTCTATGTTTCTGCCTCTCTCTTTCTCTCTATATATCTCTCTCATGAATAAATGAAATAAAATAAAATAAAATAAAATAACAAACTTTTGGGTCTCGAGATCTCTTTACATTCTTAAAACTGAGAGCTTTAAAAAGGTTTTAGCCTCTATGGGTTATATATGTCTACATTAACTGTATTAAAAACTAAGAAAAATTTTAGAGATGTCTTTAATTCGTTTTTAAAATTATAAACCCATTACATGTTACTATAATGAACATTTTCGAATAATAACTACTTTTTTTAAAAGATTTTATTTATTTATTCATGAGAGACACACAGACAGAGGCAGAGACATAGGCAGAGGTAGAAGCAGACTTCCTGCAAGGATGCTGATGAAGGACTCAATCCCAGACCCCAGGATCACACCCTGAGCCAAAGGCAGACGCTCAACCGTTGAGCCACCCAGGCATCCCAATGACTAATTTTTAAAAAAAAATTTCCACATTTTTTGCAAATCTCTTTATTATCAGGCCTAAGGGAAGCAGGTGAATTCCCACATTCTGCTTCTGCATTCAGTCTGTTGCAAGATGTTGTTACAGCTAGGGATATTATGAAGAAAAGCAGCCCTTATTCAAATTCTTAGTTAAAAAGAGGAAGACCTTGCAAACCCCCCGAAAAAGGGTCTCAGTAACCCCAAGGTTTCTCCAACCTCACTTTGAGAATTGCTGCCAAATAGCATTTTGCATTCATTTAACTCAATATTATGCATTCCCACACCAAAGTCTGCTAACACTTGAAATTATAGCCCTTCACTTATTCCAAGCTAAAACTCAGATTTGACAGCTCTTATCAAACCATCACATTTCCAAAAGTTTTTTCAAAGCTTTTACTATAGCAACTCTGATGAAATTGATATTCTTATTTGAATACATATGAAAACATTTGAGATTTCATTCATATCCCTCATTTCAAACTTTCTGGGAAATTTTGAATATAAATTGTGCCACCTGGAAAAATGAAACATTGCTGTACCGTTATTAATCTGATTTTAGGTATACTTATAATGAAATGTGTGCATTTTCTTTTACAGAAGTGATTTTAAAGTGAGCTTAAAATATAAATAAAACAAGTAATTATAGGTTTATTTTTTACCTAAATAAATACTAGATTCTAAAGTTACTGCTTTGAAATAAAATTTTATTTCATTTTTATTACAAATAAAATAATGTAAGTCACCCATTTTGGCTTTTTAAATATAATTTCCAACTAAAAGAAACTGGAGAAAAAGAAACCACCACCTGCCTAGAGAAATGTCTAATTTCAGGTCTGGGGCAGGATATATAGCTGATAAGTGTGGGATAACTTGTGCCACAAAGCCAAGGAATTCATTTACAACCAATAAGGATGTCAAAAGTTCACAAACACGAAAACTACAGAATCCCTTTGGCCAAAGATGGGATAATTTGAGAACCAACAAAAATCATGAATGCAATTGTTTGAAACATATTGAATTTATAAAAATCCATGAGTACTTAATGATACTCCAAAGGTAAGAAACCAAAACCAAAAACAAAGAAAAAGAATTGATTGGACACTTTTGAAAGCAACAAGGGCACTAACTCCTTATTCTATAGGAAAGAAAAGAAAGAGAAAGAATTAGAATGCACATTGCCTTTCCTATTTCAGAAAATCAAATTGCTGTTGAGGGAAAGGTGTTTCTTATAATTAATGTGAAAGGAATAAGAGAATTGGAAAATTGCAACTTCACAATCCTTTGTGAAATAAATGATTCAGGCAACAATCATCAATGGATGAAACCATTACATGAAAGGTCAATGATGTACTTTGGAGATTGGCATGTCACTACCTCTAATATTCTAAGTAGTGCTACAGATGAGACTCAAGACACTGTGTGCCTTCTGAGCTAACACCATCTGAAGCTCTCA